CCAGCAGGTATGCGATACAGTATGCATATCGCACATGCTAATGTGTGCATTGCACAGTACTTGCTTCTTCTTGTTTAAAAAACCCATATTCAACTGCATACCATACACAATAGCATGTTGTAACACATTTTTATGCATTCCACTGTATAAAACTGCAGCAATCCTACATTTTTCCTCAATGAACATCATTGCACTAGTTTGGTGTGAACAAGGCACAAACAGCAGTTGTTTTTGTTATGGCCTTGTGCTGATTGTGATTAACTCAGATCAACGCAGCTCAAGGCACCTCATATAAATGAGCCCTAACTGGAAGAATTGATGCAGTTTTAAAGATGGGGTAACAGTTTTCATTTTTTGGGGTTCGTGCACTTTGTAAGTTGTTAATTAACTTTTTTTATTGTTTTTTTTACAGCATTTTTCAAACGTGCCTAAACTTTTTGCACAGTACTGTATTGTATATGGGTGTTCAATTGAATAAATGTTGTACTTACTGGTGAGGATTTTGTACTGAAATAAATCTGAGAGAATATCAAATACCTTTTTAAAAGCCCTCCTCCATCCCAACCTTCAGGTCTCCTGGAACAGCCTTTCACTTCAGAGCTGCAGTAAAATAATAAGAATACAATGACCCTACTGTTTACTTAACTGGCATACATTAGAGAGGTATCTGCACTACAAAGAGACTATTAATGCATTCAACAAACAAATAATATACTGATACAAAGAAAACCGGCCATGATGGAAATATGTTAGCTATTATTATTAACTTGTTTTCAAAGGGCCAAGCTCTGAAGTTGATCCTTATAGGCTTAGTGAATCACTGATCTGAAACAATCATGTGCATATCGGGTGTCAGAACACATACTCCTTCCCAAGGAAGTGACTAAGTAATTAAGCAAGAATAAAGATCAAAACCATGTCGTTTGCACCTTCAAAAATAAGTCAGTATTGACAGCTTTCATGTGTCTAGTCTGATAAGTTACTTTTAACCCCTTCGTGACTGACGACGTACAGTGTACGTCGCCAGCATCGGGGCTGTTTAAACAGACTCCCGGCGACTTTTGCCGCCGGGAGTCTGTTTAAACTTGTAGAGCCGACTGTCGGCTTTACAACAGAAGCGATCCTGGCGACTTACCTGTCGCCAGATCGCTTCTGCGTCCTGAAGAAGGGGCCGCCC